TCTAAAATCATCAATACTTCTCAGAAGATTTTACCAAATATGATTTCTAATAATTTTGTGTAAAACGAAACGACATTCCATAGTCAGAAATGTCAATGGACGGATATAGAAATATTAATAAGCCGAGTGAGAAGCGATTTAGATGTTATCAGGTGACAGACGACCACGGACTTGTGTGTTCATGAGACAAAATATGTCCAACGCTTTGTTATTGAACGAATGATAAATTAATTTATTGCATGAAATACAAAGAAATATACGTTGCGATTCATACTATTAGTCATTTACTTCGCAGATAAACGATGATAAAATAAATTCTGTATATTTTTACAACGCGACGGTAAAAAGACCTGACAATTTTTATTTTAACAACTTTATTCACTCGAATCTATCGTTCTCATTTTATTGTTTAACTGCGAAGTATATTAAAAGCTTATTTCTTTACACTTTCTTTTAAATTACGTAGGTGTAAAGAATGATTATTTTTCTTAACTCCCTCCTACGGCTCTTATAGTTTGATAAGCGATGTTGACTTTTTACGCCCACGCCGCGGATAAAGTAAAGCTACACTATACATAAATGTTACCGGAAAATCGCGGACTCCTGCATCCGTTATTTGCCTAGATAAATCGTAGAGACTCATTAAATTGCATATCGAATGAATTCGCACAGTAAAGGTGACAGACACTTCATTGGCTGTCATTCTCTCCTCAGCCAATAATGATTCGTTGATTGTCGGTCACTCATGACAATACAACGACCAATGAAATGTCACCTTTTACAAATTGCCAAAACAATTTAGCAAATCTATGATTTGCGTAGGCAAAGTACAAACGGACGATGTACACTATTTGCCGGTAACATAAACATAAAGTCAGTTAATACCTCACATTCACATCTATATGGAGATTATTTGGGGAATGGAGTAATTATATACTTTGTTTTACACATACAAATAAACTCCGAACGGAAACGAATGCAGTAGTAACACGAGATATTTTTTGTGGTCGAGTTTACACTGAGAGCGTAGTGACAGGAGAAGCGGTTCACAGAATGCTGTCTTTGACGAAAGTGTTCTCTGCAACATTGTGTTAAACATTTGTATACAATGTTTGGGAAAAATTTGAAACCTTTCTGTGCATTGTAAACATTATTTTACACCTTCGAATGTACCTTCTGGCTTATAAGGATTCGAAGTATTTCCAAGAATTATATAAAAATATAATTCTATTTAGGTATCAAGAAAGTGTTATTCATTTCATCAGTTGGCATTACTGTAAAAAGGTGACATTAAATAAACCTCACAAGATTAGTCACCCGCTACCGCTCGTCACAATATCCGCAGTACAAAGGTAACAGGAGACTGAGAGTGACAACGCGGGTCCATCGATTCCAAGATAACATCTACACCGCGTCTTCCCTGCTCTCCGGCCCAGCACGTCGTGGCGCGGCTGGCGGCCCTAACTAGCGGATGTTGTGTTTTATGCGATTTCACATACAGGTATAGTTACATATAATAATACTATTCCATGGAGAAAGCTACCAAAAACGTTCAACGTTCTATGATTCTGCGACGAAAATATCGCTGCCAATATCAGTAATATTTCGAAGTATTAGAGATCCCTTTACCAATATTAGTGTCCGGCAAAAGAAAACATATCATCGCATTTCTTTAAATAAAACTATACTGATATCTTTTCATATTAATTAAGTACGACTTCGTAATTCCGAGTTCAGTCCCAGCCGGCGACCAACAAAAGACGTGTACGTTTACGCAAAACAAACTACGAAGTCAAACATTTTCATTCGCCGTATGAATTTCTAAAATCTAAGCTTGAAAGAAAAATTTCCGAGGCACGAGTGTATTAGTAGAGACTCAGGTGGGGCTCAATTAAGGCCATATTAATGAGCAATGAGCCTCTCGAGGCCAGACCTGTAATTACTGATGCCCGCCGCCGCCCACCGCCCGCATCCCGACGCCCGCCGCGCCCGCCGCGCCCGCACCACACGCCACCGCGGCCGAACCCGCTCCTTTGCCGTCACCACACATCCTTATGCGCTTAGAATTTAGCACAAAAAGTTAGAAAAACGCCGAGCGACGCGGTTAAAATCGTTTTACGACTCCGATCTAATAAGCCGTTTAAAAAAACGCACAGTTTTACAAGATGTTTACATGCGCGATTTTATGAACCATGAAATTCGTTTCATAATTTCTTCATTTCAAACGTTTTTATTTTTGATGTTCGGTTTTTGACAAATAACTAATATCACAGAGTGTTTTTGTGTTAGTGTTTAGGCAGTGGAAACTTACATTCGGATATTAAACGCCGGACCTACTTACGATAAAAAAATAATGCTAATTTAATAACAAACGTATAAAGTAAAACCTGTGAAATCAGTAAACAACTTGTCGATGAAAACATTACCATTGGCGCCTCGTGCGCAATAAAGTTTGATTAAAATTACTTGAGCCGGCTCCGCGCGACACTAACGTATTAATTAAAAATTACAATCTTGCATTTCCCGTATCGTATTTGTATCAAACGAGTGGGTACTTAGCGCGAATGTGAAATCTAGATTTCCACATGTTCCTTCACATAATTACACGCAAATACTACATGTTATAGCAAGCAAACTTTTACCTTAACAATATTAACATACAGTCTATTTTAGCTCAGAAACAAGTTTCCGTTTCACATCACATTTGGCGACCACTTAATACTCGATATAAGAATATTTAATTACGAACCTGAAGCTGTTACTTAATGTTGTTGTTATTATAATTAAGGAAATGATAGAATCCTACATTTTATATAATATGTATGAGAGAGAATAAAATTAATACATTGTATAATATCATAGAACTATTAAGCAATTTAAGCTGTTTCGTCATTAAAGTAGAGAAGTAATGAATACCAAACAAAATCTTACAATATATCTATGTTGAACATGACGCCAATGAAGAGGTCTAGCGTGGAAAAGCAATGCTTTATAATTTAACGGTATTTTGGACACCAAGCACTATATTGGAAAATAGCCAAAAGTTACGACTAGGGTGGCCATTGACTTGGAAAGTTTCGGAGTCTAATATTACTATTAATGAATCGACATTTGATGTGACCGTGAGTCATTATTTTAACAGAAATTTGTGGATCTATATTTATAGTCACCACATATCACAATAGCTCAGAATTAAGGATAAGGTCCCGTGATATTGTGATATTACAAAAATTAATTCCGCTACATCCATATAAAGTATTATCATGGTGATCCTAGTCGATATGTTTTGGCTTGCGACGTTTTGGAGGCGCCGTATGACCCCTGATCACATCCCTCATACGTCAATTTCGCACAAACAAGCCCGGACAGGTTACGACTATAAAACTGAGAAATGCCAACGTATCTTTATTGAGGACGTAACTGCCGATTAATACGTCCAAGGATATGTTGACTGCTGCACTGAACAAATCTTATGTTAACATAAGATTTACTGCGACGTCGTCTTAGCTACGATTGAGGACTATTTTCAGCTTTACTTTTGTCTAGTTCGATCTCTTATTCTTTTGAACAGAAACTTAGGTAGTATTGAAACCCATTAATTTACCCATAAAATACTTAAAAAACAATTAAGCATCGGCCAGAAAGTTTGATATGTAAATATTATTATATCGTCTTGAAAAGTTTTAGAAGTTAAGCCTCGTTTCATTTAAATTAATTCGAAATATAAGCGTCTTAAATTTCCTTAAGGCGATATTCCTTGCTTCATAATCTTAATTCATCAATGGCCACTTAAAGTTGTAACGATAATCGCTTCTCGAAGCAGTTCCAACATCCAAACACAAACGATTATTCGAACCATTACTTTCCACTTAACGATGGCCTATTCAAACTTCACCAGTTTAACAGTTCAACTTTAACTATTAAGCCATTAATCTAGAATTTCGCCGAAGCGTCGGTCACGGGCGGCCGTGTTCGTTTCCGCGCCATTTCGAGGGCAACAAGATGGCCGCCGCGCCTGCCGCACCGCGCACGTGCGCGGGTAAATCGAGAGTTTCCTGAAGCTAATGTTTACAAATAATTTGCCCAGCTTTGATTCGGTATAAAGCAATGCAAACAGAATCAAGTTAACGCGCCTGCGGTGGCCGGGCGCAGCGTCGCCTTTGACTGCGCCCGCGTGCTTTGAAATCTACTCGCTCTAAAGTTGTCTGCAACGTTGCTTACATCATTTGCATATAATGGCATCAAATAAATCCAAACATTGTCAAAGGACAGATCTCGTTATAGATTGTAAATAGCTTTAGACGGGTACTTCCCTATTAGCCTAGCCTATATAGTAATAAATAATAACTGATAAATTAAATAGAAAAACTTATTACTGATGTAATGGAGATTAGATGCAAAGGAACTCTTCTCGGAGTAAGGGTCGCTAAAATATACAGTACCTATTCTCTGAAATGGAAACATATAATTAATTATTCATAAATATATTTATCATACTAATAGAATTCGAAATAACGTACTACTTGTAACATCTTCTAAATTTATGAAGAATTTGCAAATCAGTTGAGGAGTAAAGGAAGTGTTCCCCCCGCCCGGTGCCCGCAGGAAGGCCAAGCCCCAGCCTGACTGCACCCAAATAAATACAAATGCGTTTTGTTGGATTGTGAGAATTGATATTTATGGTTGGAAAAAACGATCTCCCGTCGCGGCCCAGCTGCCTCTCCAATACATTATGATGTACTTTTTGTGGACAAGCAAAAAACCGTCGCCCGCACTCACTCACGTTGAATCACTCTAAAATATATTATTGAATATTCATGTGTCACTTTAGTTCCGTACTTATTTGTGTAATCTGATAGTAATAAACATGAGAACTAACATTTGACGTCGTTAGTTTAATAAATTAATGAATCGTCGTGATTATTAAATTAATACACCAATTTGAAACGATTGTGTAAACTAAAATGAAATATAAATAAAATTCTTTCATTTTGTTGCAGATTCACGCTGCCAACATTGACAACAAGACTACTGTAAATAATGCTTGTAAGTTTAAGTCTTTATGTATTATACATATATAACATTTCAATAACAACATACAATTTAATTTAAATAATAACAACGGGACCACAGCATATGAAGACTCAATAAGTCAGGTAGGTCAGGAGTCTGCCAGGTGAACTTATCTGACTGGCGAAGCTTTTTATTTCATTTAGTAAACAATGGCAGTGTCTGCTCGTTCGTCGCCAGCTCGCCGAGCATCTGATAGCGCTCGTTAGCGGCGCTTCTCGGAACGCGTCGCGAACTGATGCCGTGTCTCGTTACTACGCGGAATACTTTCATTTGCATACAGATTAATCCTCGCAAAACTAATAGCGAAAACTCCTACTATAAGTTCTCGAAAACACTTCACCTGTTAGAAGTTCCCTGTCTGCAGTGTGACTATAAAAACCAAGATTAAATACATGTTGCGACACAAACAATTGAAGTACATTTAGCGTTGTCTCTGTTTGTTTAAAGAGAATGATGAGAGATGGCAATATATGTCACAGAAGTCGAACACCACAGATATTGTTATTTTTTCTACTTGTCTAAAGTTAATGAAAATGGAGTGATAAGCGCATAGTTAAGGGAAAACAAATAGTAGGGGACAACTCGATCACATCTCGCATCCTCGAACACGAGCAGCAATTAATGTGTGTTCAAATCTGCTGCAAAATTTACGATGTCTCCATATTTATTAAGATTGCCTACAGCTCTACAGCGCGCCGCAACGTTTATAATTATTTATTGTCAAACAAAATCAATTAAGTTCTCGTAATGATATTTAGTAGAAACAGAAAAGCTATAAAATTTGAAATATTATAATTAGGGACTAGTTACCTATATGTAAAGTAATTTCGATTGTTTCTTTTTTACTTTTGTTTTTATTTTCTTCATTGTACAATCATCAATACCTTTTTTAACATTTATAAA